CAGGTTTAGTAGAAAGAATTATATTCTATACAATGTGCAGCTCTAACCCTAATGTAAAGAAGATGTTTTTGTGAAATGACTGCTGAAAGTTGGGACTGACTCATTTTTTGGAGCTGGACAGTTTTGGTCAACAAACAGTGACATATGACTTGCCTGGAAATGTAAAAGGATTTACCTCCTCCAGTGTGCTGTCTGACAGCCCATAGCTGCTGATACCCAGTTCATTCAGCCTCTGATCCAGTTCAGACAGAAAAATGGCCAAGCTACTGTTTTTAGCGGCCTCCTGTGGCAGATTAATCACCGCCTCCCGCCCTGACTCCTCCACCAGCCTCGCCCCAGGGATATGGTGTTGTGCCAAGGAGAGCAACATCGCCAGGTCTGTAGTGATGGTGATGATGACGACACACAAAAAATACATTAAATTCTCTTGTTTTATTTTGTATTTAATTATTAATGTCTACGCAGTGCATAACATGAATTGCACAAATAGCTCGTAAATGATTCCTGTCTACTTCCCTAAATGACTAAATACTTACTGGAGCTGCAGTCTTCACTCCCCAGCCCGGTGTCTTCACTCAGAGATGACTCACTGTCCTAAAATATTTATATTGACAAAACAGCCTCATGAGCTAAATATTGTAAATGCATCTCTATTTGTAAAATGTATTTTAATGCAATTTTTAATATGATTTTCTTTTAATTTGAGCATTAGGTGGGTGCATCTGAACTGCACTAATACCAGCAAAACAAATCTTAAATCAGACCTTGAGAGCAGGTAGCTTGTTGGTGCTGGTGGTGGTGCTGGTGCAGATACTGGTGTTGCTGGGAGTGCCGACCTCCAGACCTTCCTTTTTCACTACCGTGAGGTAATATCCAGATCCCAGTTGGGATTTCAGGAAGAGAGGTGATCCACAGCAGCAGAGTTTTCCCTGAGAAATGATGGCGATCCTGTCGCCCAACAGCTCGGCTTCATCCATGTAGTGAGTGCACAAGATGATGGTCCGGTCTTTGTTTAGAACGGCAGAGACACACATTTACTGGGTCTTGTCATTTGTACGAAGGCTCACAGGCTACATGACAGAAGTCATGATAAATGATGACTAAATTAACTTATTTTCTGTTCACTAAGCACTACTTCAACACATTGTCCAACCTTTGCGGTATTTGAGTAAAAGATCCCAGATTCCTCTGCGGGAGTAAGGATCCACTCCAGCTGTGGGTTCGTCCAGAACAACCACCTTAGATCCTCCAACAAATGCTATGGCCACAGAGAGCTTCCTCTGCATACCCCCTAGTATGAATGGAAAAGAACCTTAGAAAACAGCAATAATAAAAATATATGAATAAAATATTGTTTTTCAAATATATTTACCAGAGAGGTTTCTTGTCTGTTCATGCCTTTTGTGCAGGAGACCGACATCGTCCAGTAAAGTGTCTAACTCAGCTCTGACCTCTTTTTCTGACAAACCCTTCAGACGTCCGTAAAACCACACGTGTTCCTCTACAGTGAGTCTGAGACAGAAAAAAAA